TGCCTGCAGTGTGGCAGGCATCCTAGTGCCGTTGCTGGGGGGGCGCAAAGTGTCTTGTTGGCAGCGCCGCGTTGACTGACGCTCCGCGGCTCTGGGGTCAGTATTCATAGTGACAAGGCGAGGTTCGCGCGCTTCGCGTCTGATTGGGTGCGCCGCCTGTTCTCGCGTCTGATTGGGCCCCGTCATGCGGTATGGTTAGCTGCCGGAGTTTCTGGTCGTACGAAGTGCCGGGTACATGTATGTTTTAATTTTTCTCCTTCTTCTTTTCTGTTAAAATTGTTCTTACTGTTTGTAAGAAATATATATATATATATATATATATATATATATATAGCGACGTTTGCTCCTTTCACCAAACGCCTCCGCCGCCCTGTTATATATACATACAGGTGAGTCACGTACCTTTACACCTTCTGTAACATTTGAAGTTTGAAGTTATTGCAATACAGTTTTCACTTAAGTGCATTAGGGAATGGGGCTAATTTATACGTGTGTTCATTTCTATTTTATGACTTGTATTTTACGAGATATTTCAGATAATTTTTTTTGGCTCGTTTTTTGCTACGATTTTGTTAATTATCTACTTACGAATCCATTTGTAGGTAGTTCATGTACATGAAATTAATCATCCTGCATTATAGGAACATACTAAGTACAAATAAAAACCAAGGAATCATAAAGACCCCGCACACGGGACCAGTATTTTGTTCAGTCCGTACGTATATTGTGAACCGGAAGGCGGGGGCACAAGATTAGATTGTCTGTTAAGTAGCAGAGGTCTCCTTGCCCCTGCCATACGTGTATGAGGTCTGGTATATGCCAGTCTGTGTATGCGTTTTTAAAAACGATTTTAATACACGATCCACGGGCGTTGCCCTTTAGTAAGTAAAACCAGGAATATCTATCCAAAGAACGCCCCTGCTACAACGTAATTTCGTTTTCGAGAATCGCGGGGGGGGGTGTCGTGATGTAATGGCCACCGCACAAGCCTCCCACCGCTGGGGTCCAGCCACAGCGTGTGGAATTTGTGGTGGACAAAGAGAGCTCTCGGAAGCTTTTTTCGGGGTGCTCCCACTTTTCCTGCCTCTCATTTAACAATTTTTGCACTGTCATTCACCTCACCATCGTTATCGTACCGGCTTAACTGGCTGAGGGCGTAGAATTATGTCTCTGCAGTGCCTTTGACCATGAGGTCTTAAGGTTCGAATCCCGATCGTGGTAGAATTTTCGACCCTATCCAGACAACTATGTCGAATTCATCCGCTCTTTGGAGGAAAATTCTAACAGCCAGCTGCTCTGATCTATAGTTTTCCACAACCTCTCCGGTTAACACCGGCGAATGTCGGAGCAGTACCCTAACAAATGTGCCACGGACCGCACGCGATCTTTCCTTCCTCTTCCGTGGTTTTTCCTCACCCCCGTACTTACAAGCACTGCACTTACGGCAATAATAAGTTTACATTTGATGCGCTCGGAAACTAATTAATCAATCATGTACCACTAGCCAAGAGTAATCATTTCTCATGGCCCTCGCAATGAACTTACCTTCTTGAAAGACCTTTAAACCTGCATAAATGAATACGAGAAGTGTGAAGAAATAAACTATACTGTCACCTCCCAAAGTTGAGGTTTGAATCGAACTACAAACCTAGCTCTTGTATCTGTTTTATTGATGTTTGTATGTACCTAAAAGGCAATGTACACCAATAAGTATGTGTCGCAATAATCCTAGGAAATTGTGTTAAAATTCGTCATGGTCTAGTCAGCTCTTTTGAGTAATTTTCGCCGATAAAAGCATGAATTCGTTATCCTCAATCGCTTATATAACCTGTTTTACTATCTAAGGCATTGATAACTTCTGATATATCCATAATAAAAAGTTATATCGATTTTTTGAAATGTTTTGCTTCCTTATATAACCCTCTTATATCTCCCTTTCTTTAGTTCCAAGGTTACAGAAGACCATAAACGAGCTAAGATTTGTGAAATATCATTTTTAACTAGTTGGAGATTTGCATAAGGGAAACATATTTTTTTTAAAGAAAAATATGTTTTAGAGTAAAATTTATGCTAGAAACTTGCATGAATTGGCACGATTAACGTTTTTTCCGTGCAGCTAAAGCAATAAAATGGACCAGAAGTACTGTTCATAAGGCTTTTTACAGTGTTGTATTGCTCTTTTGAGTGTTTTTTTAGCCAGAAGTATGAAAAACGGAAATCCGAGGGCTTGTCTACAGTTTTCCCGTAATTTTAGACCTAAACCGCTGAAAAAAGGGGGTTAGGTTTCATGGGTCGGCGTTGTTAGCCGAATTTCGTTACTACGCTCCGTGAAGTCACGGGAGTTACGTAATTCGAGACACCGCGAATTCCTAGGCTGGTGACTGCTTAGGAAACCCGGTTACTAACGGCGCTGAGCCCTGGCCGAAGAGAAAAAAGGAACTGACTGACTGCGACGTGACGAGACAAAAATACTTATAAACTTTATGGAGGGTTACTTCAGGCGCTCATTGCCTTAGAAGGGCTTGGAGATGTGTTGAGAAGACGCAACATATTAGAAATTTTTAAAAAAAATATCCGTCGTTCCCAGAGCTGTACCCTACCAAGGACTAATTTTTGGTGTGCTTTTCTGTGGCGAATTTCAATAATTGTGATACCTTAAAATAATATAAAAGAATTTTAATTATGGCAAACCTTAATGATGTGCCGACCTCTTTCAAGCGTCACCGTCACACCCTTCCAACTACGTGCAGCGCCCGTGGCGGCCGGGTATGTCGCGGGCGACATACCACTAGCCACTAGGCATGACACTAGGCTTAAGTCAGCTCCACACATTCGGTATTCGGCGAGTAGCGAGCGACCGCTGGCCGAATCCCGAATAGTGTGGATGGGTCGCTTGCTATCTGCCGAGCGACGAACATTGGGTGCTCACCCTACCCACCGCCGTGTCGGTCTTTTGCACACATCAAAGGAAGCGAACATTCGCCGATCACATCTGCTGCTCGGGATTGGGCGAGCTGTCGCTCGCTACTGGACGAATGCCGAATGTGTGGAGACGCCTTTAGGTGAGGACAGCGTGAACGTGCACTTCAAGAGAAAGATCAGATGACCCGTTTGGACCTTACACAACGTTTTATTTGCCCACTTCAGCCGCTTTTAACAGTGCTCTTATTGTGCTCGTTCGCATTAGCACTAATATTCTGTATATAATGTTCGCAGGACGGCATTCGTGTCATCTTTGTTCTCATATGGCTCATAGCTTGTGCCTTCTAGAGGAGCATTTAGCTCTTGCTCACTCTAAGGATGTCACATATAAGTGTGGTATGTGTGGTTTCATATGTCAATGGAATAAAGATTACTTAAGTCATATGAAAGAACACTTCGAAGGACCACCATTTAAATGTGATTCTTGTAAGTATTGTGTACACTATACCAAATTGGATATTTGATAATTTTAATATTATTATTATTAAATTTATTATTTATTTCTGGTTATAATACATTTATTATTTATTTTTATATATTAATTTTAATGTTATTATATATTAAATAATATTATCTCATCAATGATTGTTGATTTCAGGTAAATTCACATGTGATCATATAAATGCTCTTCTTGCCCATCGTTTGAAACACTCAGGCGATCAGCCCTACCATTGTGATGAATGTGGATATCAATGTTCGTCTCGTTCAGATTTGATGATTCATAAACAATGTCATTCAAACGGCCGACACTCTTATAAATGTAAGTAGAGTAAACTTTTTTTTCATTTTACAGTAATTTCTCTTTTGTTTCAATGATTGGGTGACACAGTCCCTTAATTTTCCAAATCTGAGCTTCTCAACTTTGTATGGCTTTCAAGCTATACAATCAGTTCAATCCAATGTAAAGAACTTTCCCCCTATTTCTGTGCAGAATCCTAATTCTTTTTACTTTCTCGCCAACTACGTATTTACGTAGGAAAGAGAAAGTGCTGGTATTGTGAATCAGTAAGGAAATAAATAAATCTATCAATCAATCGTATATTGGTGGATCATGAGGCCATTTGTCGTGCTCTTCCGCCTGACCACTTTCATAGTGTAATTCAATTCATAATAATAATATCAATTGCAATTATATCACGTAACTCCAACAAGGGTAAGGAGTTTGAGTCAATGCGTTACATTAGGATAGGGGGGTCATAATTTAGTGTTTCGTAATACTGAAATACATTTTTAAAGTTTTTCAACATTTGCTGATATAATGTATTTTTTCAGTTGTATACTAATTCATTAAAATATTAAAAATGAAATTTAAAAATGCAAATGAACTATAAAACTTATGATGTATAAATTGTTACAATTATTGGAAATATTTTTCATCAATAATATGTTAATTAAATCTGTTAGCTTACGGAGACAATGTTCAAAACTGACCTGTATTATATTCTGCATTCCAATTAAATTGGCTTAGTAAACTCGGGATCCAGACATCATCCATGATGGCGTGTGCATGGGTTGTCAGAAATTGTCGCGCCTATGCGTCCTTTCTTCATTCAAAATTGCCTCCATCTTATTGTTAGGTGCAGTCCGCATCGCCAACTAATTCTGTCATTATCATAAATTTTTACACATAACACAAGTAAAGTTAATCCAACTCGTTACAGCTTTATAATTTATTTCAATTTCACGCTCTTACTTCTCAGGAAGAGAAAGTTATGTTATCGTGCGCGAATTTTCGGTAGAAAAATTCTTATTGCTGGACCCTGGTAACACATAAGTGGGAAAATGCTGTTGCTATATATAGCATATTACACTCTCTAACACGTGGTGTAGCCGGAATCCGTTTGTGGGTCCTTGATACCGAAAAATCGATTGCTAGCAAAACGTCAGTTTGTCTGTCTGCCCGTATGTGGTCAACACTAATACCTAAACCGATTTTTTCCAAAATTAATATTCTCCAATCGATCTGAACGAACGCTTTGCGACGTTCTATATTTTTATTTTTGAAGATACGTTACATGAAGCCGCAAAAACACTTTCAAAATTTTCGCAAATATAGCATCATTTTTTAAAATTAACTTTGTCGTTAACTCTGTTGTTAAATTGTTTCTTTAATTTTTTACCTCGTATGTATCAAGGGACAATGAAAAATATGGTGCTAGACCCATTTTCGGCGAACTCTGTATTTTCGAAAATTGCAAAAAGTTAACATTTCAAAACAACACAATTGAAGATGGAGATTTTGTCTTTAGACAAAGTCTCTTCCAAAAAGTTTTTTTAAAGGTCATGTACAGTTTTTTGAAGAAAAATAAATGGGTAAATTTCGTATAATTTGGGCTTGCAATTATGCAATTTATAAAAAAAAACTCAAAAACCACTCCAAATTTTTCTTTAATTTTTTCCCACTGCTAGAAAAATGAACGCTTAAAAGAATAAAAACGAAAAAGAATAAAAACGCTTAAAAGAATGGTGCGTGTGTGATTTTCGTTGAATTCTCTGAATACTTAAAAATTGCATATTTAGACATAACACGAGAAACCGCTAGCTTACTTATTACAACTAGAATTATTGTTTAAGTCATAATATATTGATTATACAATTTTTGTCTAAAATATTTAAAACGTGATATCTTCATATTTGTTTCGCGTTCATTGCCACATGTATTGATGGCCAGACGCATCGCCACTGCTACAGCCAGCTCGAACTTACAAGTGCATAGGCAAAAAGACGAAGATCTGAATATAGCTAGGATCACTTCAATAGAAATCAAATCGAAGCCATTTGACAATGCTGCAAACACTGTTGTAGGAAAGAGTAGACCTATAGCATCCATTGACAATTCAGTTGATTCTCCTCACACCAAGATGATCATCCAGGAAAGTTGTCAAACACCTCCTCACCTTCCCCCAAATAGTATTCAAGGGAGTAAACTTCCAGCCTCCTGTGTTCCAAAAGCAGTGACGGCTCGTGAACAAAGATCCAGGCTAGGCAACAAAGATTATTGAACTGTGGCGTATCTCGGGAAGGCCATGCCTACACCGCAATCCATTTTTTGTAATTTTATTCAAAGCAATTGTCTCACTGATATCATTACATTCCAAATAATTTCCCCTATGAAGCAAGCGTGGAGGTGATTTCAAGATATTCATATTCTAAACAAGTGAAATGTTTATCAAATTTATGAAGAAAAGTTCCGAACTGTGGACCACTCCTGAAATACTTTCTTTATCCTCCCGTTAAAGAATGACTTCTGTAATTTAGTATGACTGTTACATAACACAAATAATCCGCAGCATACTAATTTAAAATGAAAAAAAAACTTCCTAAATAATAATCACTTTCTCCGCTTGTTAACTCGTTAACAAAACAGTAAACACACGCGGCTTGCTAGTGTGTAAAAATGGAAGTTTTCCGTGCGGGCAGGCTGCGAGAGAATTCGCTGGCCTATTCTGCGATTTATTCAAAGCTGTCTCCGGCACGTCATCAGCTGTTATGGTGCTATCCAATCGGGACCTTACATGTCACTACAGTTACGTCACTATGGTGGCGTTCAATTCGATTGGATGACACGGAAACTGCTGCTGGACGTCACAGGCAGCTATAGTAAAATAGCAGTATAAGCACAAGACGCATGCGCCAATAACGGATTCAGCAGCAGTTCTACGCTCACCTTTTCTCGGGATACGGTGCGAAGGCAGGCAGCGCCGTGGCGCGCCAACCCAGAGAGACGCAAGCGGGCGGAAGTCTGCGGGAAGAGACGAGACTGATCGCACGGTGCACGGGCTCCTGGGAAAACGCTTGAAATAGAAATATGGCTCTTGCCACGAAAATGTAATATTCATTATAATTCCAGATCAATAATAATTACACCATGTGTTAAAGAGTATGTTTTAGAGTATTTTTTTATTATCATGAAATGTATTAACCTAGTACAGTGGTTTTCAAACTTATTGCTGCCGTGACTACCTTCAGGTAACAAATTATGCACCTGCCTCCCCTCATTAAAATTAAATTGTTAATAAAAATAACAATTAAATATTTTTTCTGAAAGTTAGGTCGTCATGTACACTTTGTTATTATATATTTACAGTGTACAAAATGATTAATGCAAGTGATTTGCACGGTTCACTCTTGTAATTAATGAATTTAATTAATGTTTGACAAAGTAAGGAAAACTATAAAAAGACGAACATATTGATAGTGTCAGGGGTGGAGCCACGGGGAGGGAATTGAGGAACATTTCACCCACTAAAATTTTCAGTAATTAGTAATTTTAACTGGTCACGAAACTTTCAAGGAAAAATATCTTCGGATAATCATTAAAACGAATAAAATAGTATCGCAGCGTGAGCTGAGTGTAGCCTGCGGCATTTTACAAATCTGTAATAGGACACATTCAACCAAAACATTTTGAATTTCCCCTCCAAATATTTGTCTCTGGATCCGCCCCTGAGGATGAACTTCTTTGGTGTCACACAATTCATCGAATCTCGACACTAATTTAGAAATGTCAGTAAGCATCTCATTCAGGAGATTTATTCTTTACCTGTGTTTTTCTTGATCAACGCCATGGCTGAAAATCCTTTTTCACGTACGTAAGAAGTGGAAAAGGGAAGCAGAACACGCAAGGCCTTCTAACTTAACTCTGGATTTTGATTCTTTACAGGGCACCAAAATTCGGACAGTGTTGCAGGAATGAATCACGCCACAACAAAGCGATCCGTATTCTATTGCGCCAACTGCCAGGGCTCATTAAAAAAAAAAAACTGTTAGTTGACAATGTTGGTTTCATGGAAGAAATGCGAACCCATATTATACAAATGTTTTCTCTCCCATTTGTTAAAATTAATGAAGGCATTTCCATAGTCCGATAGTAATTTATTCATGTAGAAATAATTAGAGCATTATTAATCTTCAAAACATATTTAATTAAATTATTACGAAGTTCTCGCGCCTCCCTGGGGAGGTGCGCCTCACAGTTTGAATAGCATTGACCTAGTACATATTCATCAGGATAGGCAGGGCCTACCTTTCCTCCTCCAAGGAGCCGCCACTGCCCAAAAGTACTGCAAATCATTAATGTATAATGTGTTATATAGTACATGTTATACAGCACTGAGCATTACATAATTAAACTCAGTAGCCTTATTGGCTTCTTATTTATTGTATAATGTGTTAATATAACGTGTTGTAATCATTAATGTATAATGTGTTATATAATACGTTATACAGTTCTGAACATTACATAATTAAACTCAGTAGTCTTATTGGCTTCTTATTTATTTCTGATGTGCACAAAGTAGTAGTTAATTGTAACAAAAACACGTCACTTCATGCCTCTCATTGTACTTGGTGGAACACACGATAGAGAAGCTACTCTTCACGAATGGTTTCTGAGTCCCTATCTCGTAAGTCAGGATCTCCCTGTAGTTACTCGTAAATACCTTTACCGGCAAAGATGGCTCAGGGCATCGACTGATGTGACAGCAATGCCCCTGACCGGAAGGTCCTAGTTTCGAGACCCGACTGTGACAGGGTTTTCGGCTAGCTACTTTAGCTAGATCGCTGTCTGGAGGCGAATTCTAGCGACCGGCTGCTCTGGTCGGTAGTTGTCTGTGGTTTCTCCGATCAACACCAGGCGAATGTCCGATCAGTATCCTAATAAACGGGTCATGGACTGCGTGGATCTTTCCTTATCCCCCGTCCTATCCTCACCCTTTTCTTACGCACACACTTACACTACCACACTTATCGAGAGACCATTCGTGAGCTTAGAGCTTGTCTCATCTGACACGGTGTCACGCTGGTGGGAGATACCTGGTTGAGAAAAATCCCAAGTAGGTCGGCGCCGTAATTCGCCAGCCAGCAGGGGTAGATTACCGCCACCTCTCGCGATAAAACCACGACTTTAGCAGTTGACGCGCCCGGATTCATTAATCAATCAATCAATCAATTATAAAGACATTTTTTGGACATAAAAAGTTCTATGCAAAATAATGAAAACATAATTATTAGATCATACCCTAATATCTGTGAAACAACAAATTATGAATCAGAGAGTGATTCTGACAATAGCAAACATCTGACATTACTTGAAATATTTTCAAAATGTAATTCTTAAATCTTAAGCATCTTAAATTTAATCCTAAATCTTAAGCTAGTCCCTAAAAATAGCTGGATTCCAAACCCAGCTATTAATGATGAAACAAATTTTTAGCAAGAAAATATATTAAAACGTTAAAATTATTGAAGAAACACTGAGCTATTAATCTCTGCTTACAAAATATACAGTGCAAAAATAATAGTTCAGAGGCTAAAACACAATGAATATTTTGTTTTATAAATTTGTTAACATGGTATGTCAACCTACATCAGCACACTGTTTTCACTTTTCTCTTTGAATGTTTGGGTACAAGCCAACCCAAAGATTTATTTTCAAGCTATGAATTTAATTTCAAAGAATGTAATGTTATTATTTTAGGTGATACTTGTGGGAAACATTTCACCTTTAAATCATCTCTTGAGCAACATTTGTTGACCCATGGCAACGACAGGCCATACCTGTGTGATACCTGTGGTTTTTCAACTAAACATCTTAGTCTACTTATCGCTCACAAGCGGATTCATTCAGGTAACACTTGATATTTATATTTCAGATTTATTTTGTGATTATTTTAAGATGTGTAAAGTTCAGTTAGGTGTTATTATGGTTGATGAGTGTTTTAAGTTTTTTCTTCATTTATTACTTATACTTATTTATTTACTGTGGTCTCTATTCATTGCAAATGAAATGAGATCTGTTGTGTTTGGACTGCTTATTACAACTTTCATATAACATTTTCTTTACTCTTGTTATTTACAATTTTTTAATGAGTTACATTTAAAATGCTCATGTGGAGGTGTGTAAATGTTGTGACCACATGGTGTACTTTAACATGCATGAAGTGTTTTGACAGTTCCTAAACCACTGACGTGAATGTAATTGAAGAATGTCATTAACATACAAATCTTTCAATTCCCTTGGAATTAGTAATGGGAGAAAATTACAGTTTGTTACTCTATAGCAATATTTGAATAATTTTCTTTGTACATGTTGCAAAATCTGTTACTTTCATAATAGGGAATTGCATTCCTATTCTTCTCAATTGGAAATTTTGTGATCTTACTTGCAATATATTTAGTGAGATCATTCATTATAACAAAATTTTATTGCATATGACTACAAATATTATTGTACAAGTGTTTTTCATATTGTGGTAAAAATATAGATTTAGATGTTATTTAAAATCACCTTGATAGATGTGTGTGAAGTTTTGAGCCTGATACTCATAGCTTCGTCAAAGCTTGTGCTTTGATTTTACATATCAACGAATTTTGTTACTCTATAATTATACTTTAAATAGTAAAATTTATAATGCCCTAAAAGTTCTACTCCAATTTCTTTTGTTACTTCTAATTGTTCATGTTCTCAGTTAATTTTCTTTCTTGGTACTTCTTATATAGTTCAAGTAAATATTTTTACTTTCTCTAAGCCTTCACAGATAAATTACAATCGAGAATGAAATGTGTCCTGTACCTATTACAGTGATAGAAGGCATCAGAAGCAAGTTACTACTGTACATGATAATACTTTGATTGTAAATAAACTTTCTAAGATGATGAAAATAAATTCACATTAATAATTAACTGCACGCTGAAGTTTAACATGCTGTCTCTTGTGAGTTTTAGCATGAAATTTGTTAAATGTATGTTCTGAAAGAATTGTTTTAATTTAGAGACACCAATATGGATTAACGCTTGAAACAGAGAACACTGAAATTGAATATTTTATTGGATTGCCTTAAATACTTTAACAAATGCGTTTTTTCCTTCAAAATGTGATTACTGCTTTTTATTGCATAAATATCACTGCAAGGAAATAAGTCGATATAAATATTGAGATTAATATCATAAATAAACTATAATGCTCTAAACAGCATTGTTATATTGTGTGTTTTAGTATCATATTCTGCAGTAAACAACCAACCACAATGTTTTTTCCCTATTGTGAAGCACTTGATGTTTTGCATTGACATAAGACTTTTTTCGATTTTTGAACTTGAGTTGGCAAACTTCTATTAAAGTGGTGTGATTTTGACTTTCGGGTTTTGGGTTGATTATGACAAGTAATATAATTCATTTATAATATAGGAGGGGTAGGAAGGTAACTGAAGTCATTGAAATAACTAAGGGCACATACACATGAGGTTGATATTTTAACTTTTACAAATAGAAAAAAGCAGCCTTTTTCGGATCTCTCTGTCTTGGATTTGAATCTCTTGTCTGATTAAAATAGTCAAAAGGATTTATGTTGGTACATTACATAATGACATTAACGGCATTTCCATGGAATCAACGAGTCATGGTAATCACACTTCAGATCATTCTCATAGATCTTGTTTGAGGACAATAATTATTTGTTTCTATATGGTAGGTGTCATCTAGTGATGGAAAAACATTATTCCTAATTTTCCATTTAATTGCATTTTATTGGTTAATTTAAATATAAAGTGTGAGTGTTGGTTTTTACCTTTGAATTGGACATCAATGTTTCTTATTCTTCATAAATCATTGTTTATGAGTTGAGAACTTCTGTAAAGTGAATGTGTATGATAAGTAGTACTTTAATATACAAGTATTTAAAGTTGATCTGTATATTCAGATTGTTATTGACGTTCCGTGCAGAAACAAAGAATCAAAGTTTTATATACCTACTGCATGTTCTCTATTATTTGCATTTTCCTCTCTTATTATTCATTTGTACTGAAATTACATTTTGGTTTTTGGACATGTGCTTCATTTATGATGTGTTAATTTTGCATTTATTCGAACTTTGGGAGATAAGCTCTGTAACTGATATTTTTTAGCATTTTATGAGTTAAAATTTCTTCTTTAATAATCACAATATATTACTTTGCCATTCTGCTACTGAAGAGTTGCATAAATGGCTGCAATTGAAAACACATTTGCTACTATCTGAACATTTAATAACCAGTACACTTAAAATTTTATTTATTAATATAAATTTTATTTCATGTGGTATTTAAGCCTTTTATTGGTAATTCAGTGTTAATTTATTTTGTCATTTGAAAAAATATAAATGTTAAAGTTGTTTTACAGCTGTTCTGAACGGAACACAGAAATCCATAAATTGTATCAAAAAACAAGAGAAATCGTAGAAAAAATAAACAATTATAAAAGCACGTGCAGAATGAATAATACTACTCTGTTCCTACATGACTATCGCCATCAGTTGGCAAGTAAAAATTTACAAGTATGAATCCGCTGGATAGGTTGCAGATCTGTGAGGCACAGGCCATGACGATGCTTGATGCTGTGAATCTTACAGCCTTCAAGAGCTTTAATGGCCTGTATATTGTAGTGCATGTGCATAACACGAATTCTCATGCTCTGTAGGATGTTGCCAGTCTTCTTCTTCCAGAACAGTACATGCCATACCACAGGTGGCTTGAGCTCTAGGCACACATGCTAAGGAAAATCAATCCCAATCTCCACAATTGTTATGCTCATTACCAGCATTTTTATTGATGAGTTAAACAAAAATCTGATATTTTGAAACACAATTGTTTTATTTATTAAAGAAAATGGCTAGTGTACTGAAGCACTGCAGAGCTTACAGAGCATCTGCCACTGCATTACATTGTCTGTACACTGTACTAAGAGTAAACTATACCATGATCTCTTTTCAATTTTAATTTTAACTTATTGTCTCAAAGACTTACATACACTAATTTTAAGCACAAGATGCACTAATTGATTTCTTCTTTACTGGAATCTGTGTGAAAATGTACATAAGATGTACATATATTCTCTGTGAGCTGGACCATACTTTTTTAGAAAAGTTTCTGTTCTTCACTATAACTTGAGTTTGTACACCTTATTTTCAAGCTATGGGGAAAGCCCATTGCAAAGAGACATTTTGGACACCTTTACATAGTGATGTAGGAGAGGAATGCTAGATGGGTTTGGCAGTTCGTCTTATTAATGTCCTTAAAGACAATTTTAGAAAAATAAAAATTAAAAGTACAATATTAAATATAAAATTTCCATATTTAATTCTTTGATAAATTGGGTATTATGAAACACTTTCAGTAGGCCATATAATTTACAATTAATTTTCTCTACTGTCATAAGCTGACAGAAAAAAAAGCTAAAATCTTTGAAGTTGAATTGTATTGGAAGATGCTTTGTTCCACAGTGGTGGGGAGAGGGAGTTTCAACATTTTATGAAATGTGTCTTGTATCCCATGCCTATTACTGAATAACAAGAAAAACTTTATCTCATTACAATTGAAACAAAATATTTTTTGTATGATGTTATTTTCACCTTTCATATAAAGATTCAATAATTTAATGTCAAAAGTAATGGAAGTGAAAAATATAGAACACTAGGTAATAGGCAATTATATATAATGAATGTGCAGGGTTTTTGATATCAAGTAGAAAATCCTTTTGTCTCACAATGCAGCCCTTGAATGTCAATATAAAGCCAATTAAAGGCTCTAGGAGTTCAGCCTGTATCAATTTTTCTTATCGGAACTTGTTCTGTAGTTATAAATGTGTGTATATTTTAATAAAAATTATAAACATAAATATGAGTAACAATTTTGTGAATCCCAGAACAAGTCATTTGGTGTTAAACAATTTTTAACTATCTCTGTTGATTCGAAAATGACTTTTCATGTAAAGGATGGAAATTAGAATATCTGAAATTCAATCTTCAATGTATTTAAGTTCTTCAATTAGTATAAGTTATTCAGGAGTGAAAGCAGAAAAAGAACATGAGATGAGAGGTAGAAAATATATGACTTGAGAAGTATTCTCAAATCGTGGCACCACAGGTTACCATACATATTTTTCTGAAAATTAGTAATAAAAAGTACTCTGTACAGTATGACATTTTTACGGTAATAAACTTAAAACTAGCCAGTCCGGATGGCCAAAATCATTAAGGCAGTAGTGCTGTAACGATCTGAGATCAAAGGATCGCGGGTTCGAATCTCGCCCTGAGCATGGTTGTATTTGTGTTCGTCCTACCATCACCATATCATGTCATCTTCATAGTTACTGTACCGTTAAATGCAATAGTGGTCTCGAATGACCTAGATGTCGATGTGACCTTAAATAACAAACTAACAAAAAACAACAAAAAACAAAAACAAAAATGTGAAACTACTATAGATGAATGTTAGCTTAACAAGACAAATATAAATTATTACTTTCATTATATTTTTTTTATTAATTTGTGAAATTTGAAGTAAGTGTTCAAAAATTGGAAAAGATAGTGGAAGTGCTTAGAATTGTGAAGTTTTTTTGCCGTGCCTACAGAGAAAAGTATTTTCACAAATATGAATCTCCTTATGTATTGTCTATTAAATTATTATTATCTAAAATATGCCAATTTTAGGCTCAATGTATCCTGAATTAAAGTAGTTAAAGAATGTCATGTACTGTAGTTCAGTAAGGAAAGTCAGCTATTTTTACCTGAAATGTAAAATCTATCACAATGTTTTGGCCTTTGCTTGAAGTCATGAATAGAAATGGTGAACTTTAGTAATATATATATATCACAATTTAATTTTGAACAATTTGAAAATATGTCTCCTCCTTGCTCGGCACTTTTCTAGAATCGAGTGTGTACTCTATTTCATTCTCTAATGCTTGATGCAATTAATTTCATAATTATTTGAACCTAAAGTTAGTGTTCTTAGTTTTCATTAAATGTCCTCTCTCAAATCACTGACTGCAGTAATGAATGATTTTTGGTAAAAAATATGCTCTTGAAAGTCACTTTTAACATTGTTTATACAACCTAACAGGGAGATGACAAATTACAAAGTGAAAAAGTTGTTAATTTGAATGTGGATAGTGTAAATTTTCACTTGTTTGTACTGAAGCATTGAGAAGAATTCCAATGAAAGTTGTAGCATTGCAGAAAAGAAAAGAATGGTTCCTAAAGAGCAGTTCCACCCAATTATTTTTATGTATACTACCTTATATTTTGTACTATTCTCAATTTTAATCATAGCAAAAATTTTGTGTTTATTTTGAAATACAATCCCTACTTCCAGTTAATCAGTAGCACATTCAAGACTTTTCTAGGGGGGGAGCTTTTAATAGGTGAAGTGCCCTGACGTCTTTATATTTTATA